ATTCCTCTCAAGACATTACCACGGCGCTACTGTCAACAACCTTTATTTTCTTTGGAAGAACCTCTGAAGTACAACTCAGATGTCACCAGACACTAAGAGCTGGTACAGCCAGAAATCTTCACTACCAGGTTCTGAGTTCTTCACAGATGGAACTCCTTAGATAACAATGTTGCCCCAGATTGGATTAGACTTGTCTTGGGACCAGGTAATTTGTGTTCTTCCCTAAGGAAGGGTCTCTCTTGGATTGCTCAGTTTCCTTATCCTTCCCCTCTGTCACCGTTAGCTCATATTCCCTACTCCTTCCCCATGGGAATTGTTGGGATATAAATAAACACCATGACTTCTCCTCAGAAAACCACAAGAAAACCTTTGTAGATGTGAGGAAGTGACTCTGGAGTTAATGTAAAAAAGTGACAGAAGCTCTCTAAAGAAAGATGATGGATGAGTACAGGAGATTCTAAAGCACAAGGCCCTAGAAGGTGTTAAACAGGTGTTTAATTTATAATTTATTAAACTTTACATTTATGTGTCCTGCACTTTTTGTGGTATTGTATTTAACAATAAAATACAGTTTTTACAAAAGAGTGTGGAAAAATTTCTTGATAATAACCTGACATGGTGGAAAGGAAGATCAGGAGAAGAATAGTTGATGAAAGTAAGGGATGGGAAAGATAAGTGATGAATTTGGGGGAAGAGAAGGTACCATTAATGGGTAAAGCAAATAAAAGGAGCAAGAACTTAAAAATTGTCTATTATTTCAAGTATAAAGATTTCTGGGTTCTCTCTTTTAATCCGCATGTTAATTTTGTGCTGTAACTGCTATTATTATCCATTTACAAATGAAGAAAATGAGGTTCAGAGAAGCTAAGTATATTGCTCAAGGACACAATGCTAATAAGCACCTAGATAAAATTGTATTCCAGATCTGGCTGAATCCAAAGGCTGAGCTCTTTCCAAGTTATCGGAAAGCATAAGGTCTTCAGGGAGAAGTGAGAAGGCAGCTGGAGGGGCATAGGAAAATCAAGCTGGCACTTTGGCGCAAAGTTGTTTCAACAGCTCAGACTACCATAGCCAGAGTCCAGGGCATCCTGTAGGCTTCTGATTTCCTCAGGTGCTGGTGCTCTTGCTTCAAAGGCTCAGGCTTGCCAGAGTCTGAGAGCTACTCCCACGGTATGATCACAAGAACACTTGGAATATGTAAAAGATGGGAGAAGCAACAAAGGGAATGGGAATTACAGATAACCTGAGAATAATGCTCAACAGATAAGCAAAACAGAGGGTCAAGAGGCAGGGAATAATACTTAGGTGTAAATCTAACAACATGTTCAACATCTATATGATGAAAACTGCACAACTCTGATGAAAGAAATCAAAGAAAGATTAAATAAATGGAGAAATATTCCATGTTCACAGATAAGACAACCCTATAGTGTCAAGATGTCTGTTCTCAACTTGATATATAGATACAATGAAATCTCCCCAAACCATACTTTGTGGATATCAACAAAATTATTCCAAAGTTTATATGAAGAAGCAAAAGACCTAGAATAGTTGCCACTATATTGAATTAAAAGAACAAAGTTGAAGCACGACATTACCCAACTTCAATACTTACTATAAAGCTACAGTAATCAAGATTGTGTGGTATTGGTGAAAATACACAAAGAGAAGAATGGAATAGAATAAAGAGTACAGAGATAGGTCCACACAAATATATTCAACCGAGACTTTGACAAAGGAACAAAGGCAACACAAAGAGTAGCAAAGAAAGTCCTTTCAACAAATGGTGCTGGAACAACTGGACATTGACAGGCAAAAAAATCAATCTAGACACAAGCCTTACACTCTTCACAAAAATTAACTTAAAATGAATCACAAACCTAAATGCGGGATGAAAAACTACAAAACTCCTAGAACACAAGATAAGAGAGAATCTAGATGACCTTGGATTTGGCAATGACCTTTTAGGTATAACACCAAAGGCACCATTCATGAAAGAAAGGATGAATAAGGTGGACTTTATTAAATTTAAATTTTTCAGCTCTGTAAAAGACATTGTCAAGAGGACAAAAAGCCACAGTTTAGGAGAAAATATTTGTAAAAGACACAACTTCTAAAGGATTGTCATCTAAAATACACAAAGAATTTTAGAAGTCAACAATAAGGAAACAAAAAACAGTTGAAAAAATAAACCAAAGACCTTAACAGACACCTTGCCAAAGAAGATATGCAGATGGTAAATAAGCATATGAAAATATGTTCCGCATCTTACATCATCAGAGAAATGCAAATTAAAACAATGAGATACCACTCATAGTGGTATAGTTATTAGAGTGGTCAAAATTCAGAACACTAATGCTAAATTCTGAGAAGGATTTTGAACAACAGAAACTCTCATTCATTGCTGGTTGGAATGCAAAATAGTATAGACACTTTGGAAGACAGTTTAGTGGTTTCTTACAAATGTCATATACTTTTATCACACAATTCGGCAATCACTCTTCCTGGTATTTATCCAGGTTGAAAACTATGTCCATATAAAAACTTACACATGGATTTTTACAGCATGTGTAAAAATCCATGTGTAAGTTTTTTTTTATAATTGCCAAAACTTGGAAGGAGCCAAGACATCCTAGGTGAGTGATGTAAATAAACGGTGGTACATCCATATAATGGACTATTATTCAGCACTAAGAAGACTTATTATCAAGCCATGAAAAGATATGGAAGGACCTTAAATGCAAATTATTAAGTAAAATAAACCATTCTGAAAAGTCTACATGATGTGTGATTCCAACTGTATGACATTCTGGAAAAGGCAAAACTGTGAAGACAGTAAAAATATCAGTGGTAGACAAGGGTGAAGGGGAAAGAGGGATGAATAGGTGGAGCACAGAGAATTTTGAGGACAGTGAAGCTACTCTACATGATACTATAATAGTGAAGGCATGTCATGGTGAATTAGTCCAAATCCACAAAATGTACAACGCCAAGAGTGAATCTGAATGTAAGCTATGGACTCTGGATGACAATGATGTTAACAAATGTACCATTCTGGTAGGGGATGTTGATAATGGGAAAGTGGCTGGACATGAGTGGGAGCAAGGGATATATGGGAAATCTCTGAACCTTCCTCTCAATTTTGCTGTGAACCTAAAACAGCACTAGAAAATAAAGTATATTTTAGAAGCAAAAGTAGCAGTGGGTATCCAGTCAACTAGGCAAGTGAGAGGGAAGGCTCAGGTAATTGCTCACGCAGCCCCCATCATCGATTGTTAGCTTTTGTGTTCATGATGAGTGAGCTGGTTGTGATGAAAGGGGCAGTGTTGGAGCACAATAGCCACACTCGCTTCTGTTTTTGTTACTGCTACTGCATGTCTTTTTTTTTCCCTTACTTTTTGGCTGGACGCTTTTTTCTTTTTTACAGAGCTGTGTATCTTTTGTTTTCCTTTGTTTTTCCTGTGATCCGTGAAGTCACCAAAACACTTTAAGGAATCCCACTCATGAATGGCAAAGTTTGTGACCGTTATGTTCACATCTCTCTTCTTGGTCTCACTGACCAGTTTAGTTACTTACTAAACTGATTAGTTAGCTGTCACGGAAGACTACATGCAATGTTTTGGTCATTACCTGCTTGAAATTTGACGGACATCCGCAGGAATTTCTGATGGCGTCCCTTGCGTTCTTCTTTGGTTGGCAAGTGTACTGGTCTGCTCTTAGCATACCATCTTGTCTCAGGTTTGGGGTTGCCAGGAAAATCTAGTGAGCTATTTATGAAGAATCCTGATCCTCTGAAAACAATGGATTCTCTCTTCTACATTCTATTTTGCTTTTTTCTTTTAAACATTTCTGTTTGTCAGATCTTTCTTCCAGGAATTAAAGCCATGCCTCTAATCATATCAAAGTCCACATAAAGTAGATTATAACACTTTTAAGATTACAGGCAGGATATTGGTAGTTTAAAATCGAGGCTCTGTAATCGGAAGACATGGATTTCAAACCCTGGCTTCCATTTACTGTGTTACCTTGTGCAAAACACTGATGATAGCAAAGGTTGTGCTTGTCTATTACGTGATGGGTGCTTACTCTGTGCTAGGCATTGCAGCTAAAAAAAAAAAAAATCACTTTATTTCACTGAGCACCAATAAAAATCAGAGGGAATTCGGTAAACACCCGCATTTTCGGATGAGAAATCTGAGGCTTTTCAGATTCACTATTTATAAAATGTATGACTTTGAGCAAGTTGCTTAATCTTTCTAAGCCTCATCTACAAATAAAAATATCTCATTTCTGTAGCTGCATGATTAAAGGACTTGATTCATGTAAATAACTTAGTCCAAACTAAGCCAATAAGTTTTAGCTGCTAAAACTGCTGCTATTACTTTTCACTCTCCCATATGTGAATCACTTATATCTGATATACAGAAATTGAAAAGAAAAAATTACCTGGCCAATTAGATCCAAAAAATACAACCAAATTGAGCTGTTCAGACCAAAGTACTAATTTGAAGATGGTCAACAATATCCATTTCAATTTGCAGTATGAAACCAGAATCCAAGCAAGGAATAAGAATAGGTATCAGGCTGGAAATAAGCAAACAAAATCACTTTTAAAAATACTAGAAATATCCCTGGGTCACCTAGTGATAGATAATTAGGCAGACAGATGTTCTTTCCCAATTGCTTCCTCATTCCTACTTCTACACCCAACTGTTTGAGGAAATTTCAGGTGCCATAGCCCTTAACCCAGTTCATAGCCTATACTATGATACATCAAGCAACTCACATTCAGCTTCCCCATCGAAAACCACATATATGTAGTTGCTCTTGCTTAGCCAAATGTTTCTTTTATCAACCTGGTTCCACAGTTCCAGAGGAAAGAATCAATGTAGTCACTGTTCATCTTCATCTATAATGACACCTCAAAGAGCTGCCTTCACAACGACACCATCTTCTAATGTTTTACACAATGTATTCTTTTGTCTCATTACTAATCTTACCGGTAAACAATGTCCTGTAATTCAACTAGCCCATGTGTGGTCCTGCTTTCCAGTGATTCCAATTACATGCAAATGTTTCCCTGCCCTCTTCACCTTCAGACACTAGCAAAGAAAAACAAAAGCATGCTTTATTTCACTTCACTTCTTCTTGCTCATGGTGTGCTATTTACCAAAAAAAAGATTATTAGCTCTGCATGTTTGTGTGTGTGTGGTTTCTGATTCTAATTTTTTAAATTTAGCATTAGAATAATAAAACAGTGTTGGTCAGCACACAAGCCAAAAGTAGATTTCCCCTATTAATAAACAACAGAATAAGTAAAGGCCCTCTGGCCTTTACTGTGATACGTAAGTACAGATTTTTTAATAATTAAAGAAAAAACATAAAGACTTTCTCTTCTGGTCAAGACAAGGAAAGGTTGGATTTACGTTTTTACCTGAAACAAGCAAAAAAAGTAAACTATATTCAAAACATCAGTTTTTAAGACACTGTATGCAGGGGAACAAAGGACAGTGATCCCTCAGAAATGCGAAGAAAACATGATGAGTCTTAAGATTGCCCTGGTTTAAAAGAGTTTCCAGGCCATGTCTCTGGAAGGGGGAACTAGGCCAAGGCTGGTGGACACCCTGAGTAAAGAAGAGGAAACTGGATTCCAGAGAGACTAGGACAACTAGTCTCTAGGTAACAGATGGAGAGCCAGAGAGGAGAAAGAGGCAAGAGAGAAAACTTCAGTGATTTCCAGAGGGTCCCTCTGGAGTCTTCAGTTGTATTTGTATACTCATCAGCCCATGCATTTGAGGCCAGGGGATTAACCACCCAAAAGAATTAGAGAGAATAATTGCCAAGGCTCACGCCACGTTAGGAATAATGCCCATTTTCACCAGCAAAATTAGAAAATCTCATGATTCATACAGCATTGAACACATTACTCAGAAAGTTCATAACTGAGTAATGGGAAATAATTAGCCCTAAGCTTAATACTATTCTGGTCCTACCTAAAAATTTTAAAAGCAAAACCCAAAAGGATTAAAGTAATTCCAAGTAATTTAACTACCTCCAAATTAAAGATCAATGATATTTAATAGACCTACAAAGATGTATAGTACCCCAAAAAATGAAGTCCACAACATCTGGCATTCAATAAAGAATTACTAGGATGCAAAGCAGCAAGAAAATGTGAAGAAAAATCAATTAAAACCGACCTGGAATTGACATAGATGCAGATACAGAGATTGCAGATTACAGAGGGAGATTACAGAGATACACAAATGCAGATACAGTGATTAAAACTATTGTTAGAAATATTTTTCATATGGTCAAAAGCTAAGTAAAGACATCGAAGATAGTTTAAAAGATCCATATCTTATTTCTAGAGATGAAAACTGCAATGTGTAAGATTTAAAATACACTGGATAGAATTAACAATAGATTAGACTAATTGCAGAAGAAAAAAACTAGTGAACTTGAAGATTTAAAGGAGGCAGAGATGTAGGCATATGGATATCTGAAGGAAGAATGTCCTAGACATTACTAGAAAATATAAGTCCAGAGACAATGATTTTAAACTTAACATAGTATTTAGCATTTAACAAGCACTCAAAATATAAAAAAGTTTATATATATATATATATATATATATAATATATATATATATATATATTATATTATCTCCTGTAATCTTAATAAGAATCCTGTAAGTTAGATAACCTCTTTTATTATCAAGAGAGCAGAGGTTCTAAGGAGTTAAAATATTTATGCAAGGTCATCCAGAGAGCAAAATAGAGACACAATTTGACCTCAAACTGATCCCAGCCCTCAGGTCTGAATTTCAGCTGATCCACAATGGGCATGGCTCCAACCTGAGGGCTGGGTTCAGGTCAGCTCCATGCATATTCTTCGGATTTGCAGCTTCCTGGAATATGCTCTTCTCATGGTGAATGACAGAAACATAACGGCATGAGCACAAACACATGATGCCTCTAAAGCCTTGGCATTGAGCTAGCCCACTTCCCTTCAGCCAACATTTTGTTTGCAGAAACGAGTTGTACGACTAAGTTCCACATTAATGGAGCAGAGAAACAGACTCTGGAACTCTTGGGAGATGTATTTACAGAAATCACATGCCAAAAGGTATGGCTGTAAAACTGTAACATATGGAGAGGTAAAGAATTAAGAATAAGACTTTAATCTTATTTAATCTTATACAGAAACAGAGATATGTAGTTTTACAGAATTAGAAGAGCCTACATCCTAGCTTTAAAACTTCAAAACACTATAAATTATTAAGAAATGTAGAAAGATGGCCGGGCGTGGTGGCTCCCTCCTGTAATCCCAGCACTTTGGGAAGCTGAGGTGGGTGAATCATGAGGTTAAGAGATGGAGGCCCTCCTGGCCAATATGGTGAAACTCTGTCTCTACTAAAAACACAAAAATTAGCTGGTTGTGGTGGCATGTGCATGTAGTCACAGCTACTTGGGAGGCTGAGTCAGAAGAATTGCTTGAACCTGGGAGGCAGAGGTTGCAGTGAGCTGAGATGGCAATACTGCACTCCAGTCTGGCGACAGAGCAAGACTCCATCTAAGAAAAACAAAAATAAGAAATGTAGAAAGAAATTAGGAGAAATAACATTTCCAACTTCTTTTACTTTTGGTAAAAGTTTTAAAGTTTTTTCATTTGCTATTATGTAGGTGTAGGTTTCCCCAGGTGAATTCGTCCCTTTTCACACTGCGATAAAGAACTACCTGAGACTGGGTAATTTCTGAAGAGAAGGATTTAATTGATTCACAGTTCTGCAGGCTGTACAGGAGGCGTGGCTGGGGAAGCCTCAGGAAACTTTCAATAATGGCAGAAGGGAAAGGGGAAGCAAGCATTGTTCTCACATGGCGGAGCAGGAGAGAGGGAGAGAGAGCGAGGAGGAGGAGGTGCTGCGCACTTTCAAACAATGAGATCTTGTGAGAACCCTGTCACAAGACAGCATGAGGAGAATAGTGCTAAACCATTACAAACCATGCTCATGATCCAGTTACTTCCCTCCAGGCCACTCCTCCAATACTGGGGATCATAATCCAACATGAGATTTGGGTGGGGATACAGAGCCAAACCATATCACAAGAGATCAACAAAAATTATTATGAATCTAAATTAACTATACTACAAGAAACCTAGACAGCAAATGAGGAACACGATGAGTGGGTGACTTTAACTTTCCAGAATACACAAAGACATATTAACCATTTTGAGAGAAATAATTTCCAGAATCCATATGGCCTGTTAAAAAAAGATAATGAAATTTTCAGAGGAAAAGGGAGAGATTTATTTTTACACACACACTCACATACACACATACACACACACATCTGCAGACGTGGGGGCCATAGCCTTCAGTACAAGTAAGAGTGTGCTCTCTGAAGAGCAAATGGAGGATCTGACTTAAAGTTCTCACCACAGTTCTCAGTTAGGTCCTTTTATGCAGATGAAGGATTCTAACCAGTTCTCAGTTAGGTCCTTTTATGCAGATGAAGGATTTGAATTTGTTTAGTGACGATTGGTCAAAATGGTCAAGCTTTGATTGAGTGGTTTCCAAGCCCCAAACCAAAAGTCTTTGTCAGATGTTTCTTTCAAATGCCCTCTGTGGGTAGTGGGGAGGGGTTCTAGCCACAGTTTATCTTGGCACTGACAACTAAACTAGTTTGGCTTGATGGTAGAAAGGGAGATCCTGTGACACTTTTACAACATCCTTCTGAGAATACAGAGTTCATGACTACTCCCCCACCTATCCATGACCAACTGGTTCTGCTTTAACTTTGAACATCTCAGTTAGCCACAGGGAGTCCATTTTGTCTGTCAGCCAGGGGCACACTTTAACAGACCCCAGATAAGATGGACCATGTAGAGAAAATGGGCTATATTTTCAAGTGATTCTAAAGCAACCCCAAATGGAAAGACTGAGCTTAACAACAACAAAAAAAAAAAATCAAGAAGGATGTAAAAACACGACTTTTTCTGCTTCAGAGGGAGACTTTTATAAAATGCTTCCATTTGCCCAAGGTCAGAAACAAAAGAGAATTTCTGATCTATAATATTCAGACCAACCAAGAGCTTCTTCAAACCTGAAATATTTATTTCCAACCTAGATTATCAGACAGCAAGAGTTAGAAATGTAAGTCTTGTGTAATCAGATAGCCATGTTCCTATTAAAATGCAATAAAAAGTATTGATAAAATGAAGTTCCAGTTTGGGAACTGCTAAGTGCCTAAGAGTATTTTTACTCTTCAGCCTTTGCCTGAAGAGTATTTTTGGGAATCATATCAGTTTATAATAGTGATAGTATAAACCCTTCATCTTCTAAATGCTTTGGACTCAAAGACCATGGGATTAATTATATACTGGGAGCAACAATTCATGAATATTTAACATCCTCATCTATACTTAATAAATAAATTTGCATTTTGACACTATTATTTAATGTGCTTTAAGGAAATACTGCTCATACTTTTCAATTTGGTAGATTAGTTGAATGTAATCAGAATGATAAGGCAGAAGAGATATAGTATTATTCAAATAACCTCGTGTTTTATGACTACGTCTGCTTCCAGGAGTTTGTTTCCCCCTTTTCTTTTATGCAACTAGGTTTATTTCATTTTATTCTGGCTGTTCTGTCTTAATTATTTTGCCTCTGTGGTCCTTGCAGAAGGGAATTTCTTTAGATTCATGGAAAAACAATGCAAATTAAATAATCAGTGTTTTGCTTCCCTATGTGTGTTCTATTACAGGGCATTCTCTCACGCAAAATATCCCAATGCAATTGGCAGTAATTGCGTCCCAAGTTGGCAGTCTCAGCAAGGCTGCTGCGACCCGCACAGCAAGCTGGGAGAGTGGCAGAATCAATGGCGTGAGCAAAGGTCTCTGAATTTCCCCAAGAAAAACAGAACTCCAAAGAATCAGGGCTGAGAAAAACTGATAAGGATGTTGTGGAAGATAAGCTTTTGTGTGTGTTTGTTTGTTTGTTTGTTTGTTTTTTCATCTGTGGCTTCTTATGAGGGCCTTTTTTTTTGTAAGCAATGAATTTTTTGTTTATGAGGTGGGCACCTAAGATACGTATCCA